TTTTAAATTTTCAGTTTGTTGGGAAAATTTCTGTTTTTTCAACTGCTTCCACAGGCAAAGTAGAGATAGAGAGATGTATGCTGGATCTGGTGTCAATTTTTTGCAGCAGTTGCGTTTACAGGAACTCAGTTTAGTTCAGAGTTTAGTTCAGAGTCCATAAACTTTAGTTCAGAGGCCCATAAACTTACAAACAAAACTGTTCACATCTGTTCAAGAGTTTGTATGTTTTGACTGCCTCCTATTTAGTCTCGATTTGTTTTAGTAAAACTTGACTTTCAAAACTTGAACGTTGATTGTTTTTTTTTTCTCATCCAACTGCCACAATTGAATACTAAGAATTATAATTTGTGTCAATTAGACAAAAAATTAGACTAACTAGTTTCAATTTTGCAACCAAATTGAGAGCTAAATGAGGCACCACACTTGAATATCTTGCATTTAAATTTTCACTATCATAGATAAATACTTAAACGCGTGCACAATTTGGCCGAAAAGTTTTTGAACTCAGGATTCCATAGTTTCTAAGGTGTTCAAAAGTGTCTGGTTGAAAACTATGAACTTGTTCACTAAAATTGCTCTGAACAAATAAAAATTACCCCAAGCAAGTAAAACTTCAATAGAATATGCAGCTTAAATTTAAAAGCAAAACTTAGTTATCTATTTTCGTTCGAAGAGAATAACGAAGTTTTTGTGCTGGAGGTAGTATTTTTTCTCTCCAGACAAAATTTGACTTTTTAACTAGCCATTTCTTACCAATTTTTTACATCATCCATATCATTTATTTAAAAAAATTTCCGCCTGTGATCCAGTTTCAAAGTTATGGGGGTTTAAATATTGACATTTTGGCCGATTTGGGACAATTAATCAGCTATATATATATATATATATATATATATATATATATATATATATATAATAAGCTATATAGCAATTAATAAGATATATATATATATATATATATATATATATATATATATATATATATATATATATATATATATATACATTAATTGTCCCAAATTGGCCAAAATGTCAATATTTAAAACATATTCACAATTTTGACGAGTAAGCGGAGATGTATTTTTTCTAGAAATTGTTTTTTTTTCATTAAAGCATGTTAATTAAACTATTCAAATTGACTATTTTGTACATACCACAGACGAATTTCGATTTTTTTTTGCTGAGAATTTTTGAAAAAAGGTTATTTTTGAAATAGCCGAAAAGTATTTTTGCCATAAGCTCAAATTTTAAGAGATATTTTACTTGTGATATTTTTGTGTAAAATTGTAAGGTTTCAAATATAGCTAATATTAGATAGTTAACGCGTGATATATTTCGTGCTGTTCACGCGTAAGCGGAGATTCAATTCGTCTTTCAAATTTTCGAAACTGAATTGAGGCATCTTGTTTGGTCTATACAACGCTTTGCTACATGCAAAAAGCATCACCTAGCAAATGGCTGGAAAGTTTTTGAAAAAAATTTTTAAATTTTTTTCAAAAATGTTTGAAAATTAGATCATCTTTTTAAAGCGAACACTACTCATTAGAGCTTGAAAGGAGTCGGAACATTCAGGGCTTACCTTTATACGAGTAATCTTGTTTCATTTTTTTCGCCGAAAACAAACTCGAGCTGACTATATCACCTCACGAAAACTCTCAAAATACATTAGCGAACATTACCATTAGTTCATGAAAAATATCCAAGTGATTTCTTTTGTTAGAAGACAGCTAAATGATTAGTGCGAAGTCAATGAAAATTTAGAAAAAAAACTGATTTTTTTAATTATAAAATTGAAATGGTTAAGCTGATAAATAATTAGTAGTTCAAAATGAAAACTTCAAACCAGACATGTTTTTAAATTTCACTTGAAAAAAAAAGTTTTTTTTTTAAGCTTTCAAACAGTTTATCGGATTCCTCCTATTGACAGTAAATCAAAGCATTCTTAATTCGGCAATCTAGATTGAAACTGACAATTTGAAAATCCAAATTTCCAATTTTGGAGAGTTTTAAATTTTTTATCAAGGATTTCTCCAACAAAGTGCTTGCAAAAACTTTTCAGATGCTTACAGACTGGGGCTAAAAATCAAGCCAAGTCTTCTATCCGCTACCATTTTCTCGAAAAAGGGTCTCTTAAATACGAATGCTTTTACATGAAATCACACTAAGCTGTATCTGCATTTGAAGAAACTTTTATCCGTTATCTCGAATGCATGTGTTCTTATAAATCAGTATGAAACACAATTGCGCTCTCCTATATTTTGTCTCAACTTTATCAGGTGAAAACGATGTTTAGATTGGGCTCTATCAGTCGAAAACACTCAATTCAATAAAGTCTTGCCAATGAGGACCTAGGAAAAGCCTAGGAGAGGACCTAGGAAAAGCTAACCAGTCTATCTCTCCTCTATTTCCCCACACTCCAGACTGGTTTGTTTTGTTTTTTGAAGCTCTTTTTGCCACTCAAGGTCCTTTTTGCGTCTAGAACATTCACGTGGTATCTAATTATTGCAGCCGTAATTGGTCAAGCTGGAGTACACCTCAATCTAGATGTCAAGTGAGAGCTCGTCGCCTTACCATGATGCTAGGTGCTTAAGTTGCTATACTGTCGCTTTTATACTTGGGTTTTAAACTCAAGTTTTGACATTTTCAACCTTTTTTGAGTCCAAATGGTTAAAAATTGTTCGTAAAGGATATATAAAAAGTTTACATAATAACTGCAGCAGAGCGAAAAAACCAAAAAATCATTACTGTTCCAAACCAAGAAGTTCTCTAGTCTCTGCCTTAAGACATTAAAATAACATTAAAATGACATTAAAATAAGAGAACCTTCCTGCCCATGATTTTGCTTGATAGAAACTGATCACTTTTGATTTTTATTGTCAGTGTCTATGAACAGGAAAATTTTTTGGTTTTGATTTAATTGCAACAAATTATATCGCTTACAATTAATGAGGCACTATAATCCATTGCAGAAACAATCTCGCGTTTTTCCTGATTACTTTCTAAAAGAAGAACTTGAATGTTTTGCGTTCATCTTGATTTTCGGTTTTGTTTTGTTTGAGCTGCTTGACAGCAGACAGTTCAGCTAATGAACAAAAAAATAACTTTTTAAAGCACAATTTTAGTTAGACCTAATGATTTTTTTTGAAGGACGTTGTGCACAAACCCACTATCGATTTCTTAATTTTGTTATAGTTAATTATTTGCTGTTGGTGACGCAAATTATGAAGAAACTGCTGTGTTTTTCGTAGCCTTCTTGCATTTTTTGTTCACAAAATTTGATATTTATGATAAATTTAAAGTTTTCATATGATACCACTTGCGACAGCACGTGTTTTGTAAGCGTGGAAACATATTTTAAACCATAGACAACTTTTGTTACAAATCTAGAGAAATTTAACTTTCTTTGTTTTAGAGCTGTGGCCATTACTAGGCTTCCTCTTACTTAGTCCAGACTAAATGCAGCTGCTTTTGCACTCGTATATTTGAGGTTTGAGTCCTGGAAGGACATTTTACGAAAATCAATATTTTTCAGGGTTGTGTCAAAACTTTTGTGTAGGTTGTAGGGCAAAAAGAAAATTTTCAGTTTAGAAAAAATTTCAAGTTTGTGGTAAAAAAGTGGGAAATTTTTTTAATACTCAAAAGGTGTCTTCCCAAGTTTTGTTGACTTAGTGGCCGCTGGGTAAACATGCGTGTATACTTCTAATGCCTGCTTACTTCTAATGGCTCTTTTCTAAATTAATTTTTTCATTTTTCAGGAAAACGTTTTTTCGTAAAATTTTTGGCTTATATCCTTTTCATTTTCTATTTGATATCTTGCAATGCTACGTTTTATCGAAAGCAATTCGTAGCTCCGCTAAGCTTTCGTAACTTAGTTGCTTAATTTTGTTGTTGGCTTACATAGTTTTTTTATTTCATCTTTATTGTCGTGTTTTTAAAAAAGGTAATTCAATTTTTTACTTGAGCCTTCCTTGGATTACAAAACATTCTAATCTATCAATTATAATCCCTTATAACAGAACCGTAAACAAAATTAATCATATCTGACCTCAAAAAGGTTATTTTATTTAATT